TCGCGCCCGTCTGGAGTCTTGATGCGAGATGTTGCTATATGAGCATGACGCTGTCTGTGATCAGCTAGTTAGTTGTTAGCTAACACCTGTTAAGGGCCCGAATTTCAAAACCGCCTGCAGCGCAACACGGTGTCAGCACAGCTTCACGTATCAGAAAACACCAGTAAATGGCAGCCATAGTTACCTTGACGAAATAGCTGTTGAGAGTCGTCCGTGTCTATTTATTTACAAACATCGAAGCGAGCATCGCGGCTTTTTTGGGAGCTTCGGCAGATGCAAACAGCGCAAACATGGTGGGCTTTGCGGTCCCGCCGACAACTTCAACTTCCGCAACAAAACGCCAAATCAGCCTTGGAAGAGAGCGACTCCTTGCGACTTAACTCACTCTCTATAGACCATTGAGCATCGCACCGGGCTTGCTTCGCGTAGCGCTCTCTTCCTTTCACCTTGACTGACCGCGGAGGACACTTTTTTTGTCTCATTAACCATGACTTCCAGCACCAGCCGCGAGGACTTCAACAAAGTCTTCCCCGCACTCGTACAGGACATCAGCGAGCATGCGAAGGAGTATAACATTCCGGCACCAGCTCTGGAATGGCTGCAAAAGGTCAGTCCTGTTCGAAGTAGCCTGGGTCTTTGCCGGTAACTAACATGTGCCGTAGAACCTGAACGAGAACACGCCCGGCGGGAAACTAAACCGTGGCCTATCGGTCCCCGATACTGCGCTTGCGCTCCTCGAGAAGCCCCTGACTGAGGAACAATTCAAGCATCTCGGCCTCCTTGGATGGATGACCGAGCTCCTGCAGGCCTTCTTCCTCGTGTCGGATGATATAATGGACAGCTCGATCACTCGCCGTGGCGAGCCATGCTGGTACCGCCGCCCGGGAGTCGGCATGATTGCAATCAACGATGCTTTCATGCTCGAGTCCTCTATCTACGTTCTCTTGAAGAAACACTTCCGCTCTCACCCTGCATATATCGATCTTGTCGAGCTCTTCCACGAGATTACCTTCCAAACTGAACTCGGCCAGCTATGTGACCTTATCACTGCTCCTGAAGATAACGTCGACCTGAACAACTTCAACATGGACAAGTTCAACTTCATTGTTATCTACAAGACAGCCTACTACAGCTTCTACCTTCCTGTTGCTCTTGCTCTGCATTACCTCCAGCTTGCTACGCCTAACAACCTTCGTCAGGCTCATGATATCCTCATCCCATTAGGCCAATACTTCCAGGCTCAGGATGACTATCTTGACGTCTTCGGAAAGCCAGAGCAAATTGGAAAGATCGGAACCGATATTCAGGACAACAAGTGCTCGTGGGTGGTCAACCAGGCTTTGAAGCGCTGCACTCCTGCACAACGCAAGGTCCTCGACGAGTGCTATGGCCGAAAAGATGCTGCCATGGAAGCCAAGGTCAAGGCTGTTTTCAACGAGATGAATCTCCAGAAGGTCTACCATGACTTTGAGGAAGAGCAAGTTTCAAAGTTGAAGAACATGATTGCGTCCATTGACACCTCCGAGGGGCTCAAGGGAAGCGTCTTTGAAATCTTCCTGGCTAAGATCTACAAGCGTGACAAGTAGATATGATCTCCCTAACAATCCAAGAAACACTCTCATTTTCACTAATGGTAAACCAAGCTTTGCCAATCAATCATCCTGGCCTTTTTCTGATGTAAATATCACACACCACCAACCCATAGAAATCTAGAAAATCAACACCAACAAGAACACAAATGTAATAGTTAATGAATACAATATAACCATGCAGCCTAATATTTCATCCCCTCCCATTTTTGTAATGGACAGTTCACCGCCGGAATGTCATCAGAGGTTTAATAGATGCAATTAAGTTGTGTATTAACCAGAAAAGTGATAGAGAAGGACTTAAAAATACAGAGCATTGAACATAGCATTGAATAGCTATTTAGAATCGCTTACTCGTGCGCAAGAATAGAGGATCCCAAATAATAAATCAAATAGACGAGGGAGCAATATATCTAATAGCCCAATAAAGCTATTCACATCCGCAACCATCCCACTTCCACAGCACTGACTTCTCGAACCCTTCTCAGCAAACTATGTATCAAACCAACATAATATCACGCACTGCCATTCTCTTCATCTAGTCATCAAGCAGCCTTGGTTTCGCTTCCAACTCCATGTCCGTTAGGAGCTGGGCCAAGTTTGAGGGAGATGGATTGCCTTTTCGGTCTAATGGGAACGGGGATCGAATCCTCTTCCTCATCATCGCTGCCGGCTCTAGGTATGGTGTTAGCATTGACTCCATTGGCACTGGTTCTAGTAATCGGTTTAAAACTAGTATCACTTACGGAGGTTTGTAGGATATATAATCCTCGGTATCCAGCCCTTCGCGGCCTTCTTGTATGGAAGCAAAGTCCCCTGGGGTCATGGTACCCGTTCGATCGCGAGGAGAACCTGGGACAGATAGTGGTCGAGATATCTTTTGTTCTGTATGACCAATAGCCTCGTGGAAATCGTCTGCTGCATCAAAGGAGGTAGGGTATGCTGTTGGTGGTATAATTAGAGGGGTTTTCACTTCAATAAACGGGAGAAATATGAACACATACCACGTCTGAGGGCGAGCTGGCGGGCCTTGACATATTCCAAGCCCATGCGTTTCCAATCCAGCAGATCACTCAGTCGTTCTGTTCTGTTTCTTTGGTTGATTCGCTGCCTTCTGCTCTTCTGGCAGAAATCGAACATGTAGCTCGTAAGCTGGTTTACCGAGTCGTCAACGCCTTTTAATCGCCTGTCAACCACATATATACCATAATCGGCTGAGTTTTCGATCAGCTCTTCCATATAACATCCAAAACCAGCAAGGTTGGTTGTTATACTTGGGATTCCCATAACCGTGCACTCTGCAGGGGTATAGCCCCATGGCTCATAGTATGAAGGGAAAACACCAAGGTTAGTACCACGGACAAAATCGTCGTAGTCTAAAGGCAGCACAGGATTCGCAGAGTTAAGGAACTCGGGGTGGAAGACCACCTTGACGCGATCAGTAGGGTAGTTGAAGAGTTGGACTCGGCGAAGTTGATTAAGGATGGGATCTTCAGAGTCGTTGATCATATTATGAGTGACAATTGGAGGAAGGTTGTGCCGTTTCATGGCAAACAAACGCCGACGGATAAGCACACGGTCCTGGTTTGTCATGAGGTCCTTTTCATCGGGCATATTGTCACCTTCTTTCCAGCCCAGACAGCGTTCGAACAGCCGTTTCCCGATACTCTTTTCTACGCTCTCCAGGGTATCTCGTAGCGATTTGACCACAGCTTGTCCCTTAAGAGCCTCAACAGTGAGAGAGGAGGTCTGGGAAGGCATAATTATAAAGGCTACCACGGTAGTCTTGGATCCAGATACCTTCAGCCGGTGATTAAGTCTCGCGAGCGATTCAATAAACATATCCACACCCTTATTTCGGTACTCATATCGGCCGGAGGTGAAAAAATATAGGGTATTTTCCAGGTCAAAGTCGTTGTGGCCGTAGAAATGACCACGAACAAAGTCGTTAATCTTATCCTTTGAATGAGAGTGCAAGTTTTGGAACTCATGAACAGCCGAGAATTTCTTGACGTTCAATCCATTAGGCAAGACTCCGTCGGGCTTTCGTTTGAGCAAGTGCTCGCTCTCGTAGGCGGTAATGTGAGAGACCGTGGTGAAGACATCAGCAGAATGGGCAGCAGCTCGCTCGATGCAGTAGCGGTGGTAGATTCCTCGTTTCCCGGCCTCTGCATCCACGTCAAAGTTCTTCAAGTTGTTGTAGAAGTCAACTGAGCCAGCACAAAGATATCGTCCAAGAAGAGTTGCATGAGTGGTAAAAATAGTCGTTACGTCCATCCGCCGCTTCTTGGTCAGGGGCAACGCAACTCCTGCGAGCCACTCATGGAAATGAGCTATAACAGCCCTCTCGGTGTCTCGACATATATACTGCCGGAAAATCAGCTGTGAACCTTGGCTTTCTCAGGAGTTATGTGCACAAGTACTGACCTCTCCTAGAAACCACGCAACAAGATATCCAAATGCAATTGCCTCGTTGGTCTCTGAATCAGCCGAAGGTGACGGAATCCCAGCAGCGTTCCAAAGATCTCCTTTCCACTCGTCGAGATACTTATATCCCGCACCAGTATCAATCAGGAGGACGCGGGGAGCGCCTTCTATCAGCCATCGACCGTATACGATCTCTATGCCACGCTCGGTCATGGCTTCAATCGCCCCGATCAAATGCGGGTTCGTTGGCGTGAGGGCTTCCACCTCGACCACCGCCTGGTATCAAAGATAAAAATCAGCACAGGTCCAGTTGTCTTCAGCAGAAACAAAGCGAACTACATACCGACGCCCGGTTCAAGGGGCCTATCAGCGTATATCGCTCGCCATACTCTGCGGTTGTCACGGCCGCCTTGGACTTGAGAACCGAGTAGATCCCGCCAACTGCAATATCATGTTAACGCCCCGCACAGCAAAGCAGCAAAGCAGCAGCAAAGAAAATAAGATAAATGGAAAAGCGAAGAACGAACCTCGATTAGCAACCTCCGTCGCAATCTCGAACAAGACGTGGTTTTTCACGTCTCTCTTCGGCTGTTCTGCGCCATCCCGGCGAGGAGGAGACGCCATGACGTAGGTAAACAGCCCAAGTCCCACAAGAGCAGATCGCAGAGATGAGACGAAAGGCGAGCGCGAGGTCGAGCCAGCAAAGAGACAAAAGGTGATACGAGACGGCAGGCCGGTAGATTAAATAGCAGGCCTCATTCAACAGCGAGCAGCTGGACTTGGAGGTGGCGCAATATTTGTTTATTTCTCTCAAAGCGAAGTTGGCAGCTTTGTTGCGATGGGCCGCACCAAGGAACGAGCCCAGAGACAAGCTTGGAGGCGGGTCTGGGGTAGTTAGTTAGCTCGCGAGACGAGGCAGCGAGCTCTTCTCTCCCGGCGGCGTCTTGCTGTTGCGAGGGAGTCTGTCTTCTGTCTTGCCGGGTGATGGTGGTTGAGCTGGTGGTGGCCAGGCGGAGCGGCGGGAGAAGAGGAAGAGGAAGAGCAGAAGAGAAGGCCAACCTCCGCGGCCGCCCAGCAATCATCCTTGTACGCGCATCAGGAGGTACATGCCAGCTGCTCCGACCTGGCACAGAGATAACAGATGCAAGCTATTCGATCAGGAGGTACAGGCTGGCCGGACGGGGCTGGTCAGGTCAGATTAAAAAAAAGGCGTATGTCCTATCTCGAGCTACAGCAAGGGAAAACCCAGCTTGCTGGGCTGCTATCCCGGATGCTGCGCTCTCTAATTCAAGGAGAAGGAAAAAAAAGAAAAGAAAAGAAAACATCGAAGAAAAGAGCAGCAGAGAGGGCAAAAAAAGGGAAAAGAAGTAAAAAAGAAGTGATAAATACACACAATCCTCAAAACGCCCTGACACCGTAACTAGCTGAGCTTCCTCCAGAAACAATACATCATACATCACTGACTGAACACGCTGCTGCCGGACGAGGACATCCGGCTTCTCTCAAACAGCCATTTCTGCGTCATAACAGGGGAGGTGCCCTTTCCAAACGGGGTGGGCGTCGAGGGAGCTCGCAGGGAGCTTCCATCTCGTGCTCCAATGCTGGACCGTCCCAGCGGCGAAGGCGAGCCAAAACTGTTTCTACGGCCACTATCCCGGCCACCGGACCGAATCCCCTTTTGGAACAGCGGGCTACCAGAGGGAGTGAACGGCGGGCTGTCGGGATGGCTTCTCGTGGGTGAGTCTTCAGCCCCCGAGTATGAGAAGGGCGAGTTGCCCCATGAACCCGAGCTTCTCCTGCGAGAGCTTGATGATATGCGGTATCTGGGTGGTGTGATGTATTCGGTACCCTGTGTAGCGGGAGATGTGCTGTTTGGGTCGAGTCCCAGCAGTGCTCTTTGTGATGGAGTCAGCGGGATGTCGGATACCTGGTCAGGTGCCCGGTAGATAGGGTACAGAGTCATGGCAATGTTGATAAACAGCAAAAGGCGGACAACAAGTAGTACGATGTCTGGGTAGGTCGGAATTTGCAAAAATGATCCAATCGCTAGGGAGCTATTATCACCATCCTGTTAGCATGCACTCTGCTCTCCTTGTCTGGGGGAGTTGGTCGTCTCATACTATTGCTTGTAGGTGTTGCCAATAAAGCCAGTAAAAATCAATGTACCCGCATTTAAGAGCAGCCTCCTGATTGTTTTCTCATTGACGCTGGACGCATTCTGTCGTCGAATAATCTCTTTCAAACGTGGATGTCGCCATTTTCCTGGGGAAGCTGTTGGTGGACCACTGGTATCCAGCATCCGCGGGGTCGACGGGAGCGATGAAGGAGCCATTGATGCGAAGGAACGCACGCCGTACGCAAGAAAAACGCAACGAATGAAGCAGAACGCCTAGCAGCACGGTAAGCTGGTGCTCCTCGCCCATGGTTCAGTCGGAGATGTATGGAAAAACTCACCTGGATAAAAAGACCTACCTTACTTACCTTCTAGTTATCAGAATATCAAGGGATATTATCTCTTCCTAGTTCATATCATGGTATGCTCCCCTCATCCAACGCAGACTTTCCTCCCTCGCTGTCGCTTTGCAGAAGTTCCTGAACCTCTCAATGTTTTTCTGTTTGGATTTTTGGCTTGATATTCATTTAGGCGCCAAAATTACCGCGCTACCACAGAAACCCGCGGCTGTCGCGTATCGAGATTTCACAGCAAGTTTACGACACACGCAAGCAAGCCATATTTATACGAGAAGAGACCTGGATTACGGTAATTAACCCATTACACTCCTTATTATGTCACTCTACGCTTCCAGATCCCATGTTTGAGCTTGGAAGTTGACGGTGTTGTCGAAACCGAGTTTGTACTCATCCCACCCAAACGACGTCACTTATAAGCGCCGCTGCTTCAGCGAGGTATAAGAACCAACAAGCTGGCCAGGCTTGGACACAGATCAAGTCAAACACCCACACTTCACCATGGCGGCCGAAGACTCGATGCTGGCCAGGGCAGATGCGCTCCTGGAAGCGCTCTTCTCCGATTGGAATATCTACTCGACTCTGCTCGCAACAGTCCTCGTCTCATACATCGGATATACACTCTTCTTCACACCGGACCCCGATGCACACCCATATGTACTGGCCCGGCAGGGAGTGGTAGCTCCCGTCAGACAGCGTGGGGAGTCTGCTTCTGTACGGGCCATGGACGTCCCCCATGGCTACCCGCTCAAGGCTGGACTTGGTGTACGTGATCCGGACACTCCTAGATGGACTGCCGGCAGACGGGGAGACCTTCGAGATATATGGAAAGCTGTTGTCCGCGGGGAGTTGAATAGCGATGGCACACCATCGGGGAAAAAGGGATCTATCTTCACCGTGTTTGGAAACACAGCTCAAGAACGCAGTGTTGATGATATTTCCCGGGAAATCAAGATCATTGGACAGTATATCAGTGACACCAAGGCACAAAGAGTGGCTATATGTCTCACTGACTCGGTAGAGATGCTTGCAACTATCTTCGGTATGAATTTTGCTGGCTTAGATTATGGCAATTCCGTTACCTAATGTGTCTAATAGCAAGCGCTTTCTACGGCTTTCCAACTGTTATCATTCCTCACAACCTTCCTCCTCAAACACTTGCTGGTTATCTTCAAGAGACAAAGGCCGATGTTCTCATTGCCGAAGCTGGTGCTGTGGAAGTTACTACTTTGCTGAAAATGTGTCCTGCTCTGAGACATGGAATATGGGTTGCTCAGGAGGGCAGCCGACACATGGACTGGAATGAAGTCCCTGAAGGGGCTGGTAGCAAGATCGAAGTGTCAACGTGGCACGAGTTAGTCAATGAGAAAGAGGGCTCGGTTAGCCCTGAGGTACCCGAATGGGATGTTAAATCCCCAACCCCTTCTCTGACCACTCTATGCCCATCTAAGAAGGGTCTAGGTTCATTCATCGAGTATACTTCAGAGGTAAAGTTCTTATCTCTTGACCTTCTGGGGAACATGGGAGCTAACTCTTATACATAGAACATTATCTCTGGTGTTGCTGCATTGGGTTCTTCTTTACCCCGCAACGAACAGCTCAAGTCATCAGACTTGGTCTTGTCAATTGATTCGCTTGCACACTCTTATACCCTTTGTTTCGTTCTAGCCGCCTTGTACTCAAATGCATCAATTGCTTTCAACTCCGTCGCTGGAGAAATCGTCGACTTTGCTCTTGCAACTACCGGAGTCTCGCCAACAATTATCATCGCCTCATCACACACTATGTCCGATTACCATGCTCAATACATGGGCCCGCAATTGAACCCGTTGGTGAAACTTGGCCGCTTCTTCCAAACTCGGGCCTTAGATTCAGGAAGGATGCCATCAAGCAACATTCTCTCTGCTCTAGGCGGAAGTGGGCCTGTCTCGGAACAGACATTAAAAAATTTAAGATTGATTCTTGTCTCTCATCGAGCTGAAGGAGATAGGAACAACCAACTCACCAGCGACCAGCTTACAGATTTCAGGATCATGACAGGTGCTCGACTCGCATATGCGCTTACTACTGGGAAAGTAGCTGGAGCTGTTTGTCAGACAAATCCATATGATTACAGAGGACAGCGGGGTTTCAGCCACTTTGGCCCTCCCTTGAACAGTGTGGAGGTCAAACTAGTTGATTACGATGAAAAGTCAGGCAATGAGAAAGCCATTGAGGGAAAGGTGTGAACCGATTATAAGAATAGTTATGCAACTCCTTTTTCTCTTGAAGCTATACTAATCATTGTCATAGATCCACATATCTGGACCTGCTGTGGTATCTGGTGAATGCAAGCTTGAAGCCGATGGCTTATTCCAGGAGGACAATACTCTAGTTCTCCTAGCTTGAACTTATATTTATGAGATATGATACTTTTGGTTTCTTTTAAACAACATTCCTGTGGTGCAAAATCAATGAGCAGAGCTGGAAACCCGTACTGGGATATTTCTAATGGGAAATCTCTAAATTAGCGTGATCAAAATAAGATGCAACAAGAGATATGATTCATACATGAACTGGTTGGGTAACAGATATAAAACTTTCTATTATACAAGTAGTAAATGATTTGGCTCTGGAGACCAACATAATCAAAACGCCGTGATTGAATACATATATCCTCTAGGTGAAGATAGAAATCCCCTATTTATGCAGAAGTGACTTCGTCCAGGATACAGTGTGGGTGACCTCCTGGCGGTGCTTGTCAACAGTCTGGAGACAACTTTCAATGGCCTTAGCCAATTCGCCCCTTCGAGCTTCCAGACCTTGTCGAATATCCGGCTGGGCCTTAATTTCTTCAACCTTCAAAGCCAGATCCATTCCGTGCCATAGAGGTACGTAAGTGCGTAGTCTCCAGTTAGCCGTTGGCCATTCTGATGGCACAGTGAACTTCTCTAATGGCCATGTGCTAATAAGTTTATTCGCATATGACCGAACTCCCTGGTCTTCATCACGGCCTTTAAACGCATCCATGGCGTAGGCTGCCTTCAACTCGAGTAACATTCCGATAACGCTAGGGAGCCTCTTTGGGTCCTTTTCAGCAACTGGGTGAGTGTGTTCCGGGGAATTCAGTAACCTGACTAGTTCCTTTGCCTGTCCAAGAGCAAGATGAACATCAGGTCCCTTAAATCCAGCCTTTTCTGCCTTTAGTCGTATAGAAAATAGAAGCGTTCGAGTGAAATCAGCATTGCGCATGAGCAGGCCTGTTCGATGTGCTTGCGCTACAGCTTGCAAAACATGTGCTTCCATTCCAAGATCACCAGCTCTCCGTATAAGCATCTCGGTAGTATGTGGGGTGAGGTCCCGTTTCGAGGAATGAAGTCCACTTAGGAATGGAATGAGACTCTTCCAATCTTCCTCTGTCTTCAGCAGTCTAATCACTCTGGCGACCTCGCTGTTACTCGGGGCGTCTGCAATGTGCATGGGTCGCAGTGTGTAGTTATCGACTGCATCTTCGGTTCCAACGTTGACCACTACGGGGTGACTGAGTAGTTCCTGTGATTTTGACTTCTTATACATGGCTCTTTTGTCTTCGTATGGGAGCCATGCCGGAATAAAGAGCTTATCTCGAAATTTTTGGAGCAAGCCATCGAGCTCGGGGGATGAGGTAGGAGCAAATTTAGGAACAAGAGCTGCAGCAAATATACTATTAGCGGAGGCATTTCATTATCACTAGGAGATATTAGCGCATACCTTTGCAAAGGCTGGCAGAGCTTGAGAAGGCTCTGTATCGACCTAGGGATGTACTCTGGGAGGTGCACCCGCGCACGAAAGCCCTCCCCAGCCGTGGGTGCGCCATTGGCTTAATCTGACAAAACCAAACGATTTAATAGAGTAATAACTTCAAACTGACGGGTATAAAATGCAAGGTGAATGCTCGACTTGGTGTTCTGTAGTTGATCGTGTGTTTTTCGCTCTCTTGCTTCATCCAAAAAGTCGAAGATAGAAAAAAAGTTCATGTCTTGGCTTGGCACGGGCCACTTTTTTGATGGTTTCAATTTTCTATTCAGAAGACATTGAGCGACAGGAGGAAGACCAGCACAACTCACGCAAGGACGAAGACTCTCACCACGATGGCCTCTGTGAAGTCGGCGCTGCGGCCGGCTGGTTGCTGTGCCAATGCATTCAAGGAGCTGAGGCAGCAGGTACCTCGCCGTCAATTCCTCCATACCGTCCATTCTCCCCGGAAAGAGAAGATCGCGTTCCCTACCACTATCCCAGAACAATTCATATCACAGATTCCCAAGTTCTGCCGGCCTGGAAAGGGTATGCTCTAGCTATATATTTTCGAGATACCACAGCTTACTTGAGTTGCTGGTCACTGACATGGCTTGTGATATACAGGCACCAAGGAACTCAAGGTCCACCCTCCTCCGGCTTTCCCATACGACACATGCAAAGACCCTATTGCCGCCTTTACGGCTGAGCAATTGTCTGTACTCGACCCTACTGGCGAGAGAAAAGCGCTCTTCGATCCGAAAAATCGCCAGGGCGCCAAAGTTGGTGACATTCTGCGTGTTACGTTTAAGAATGGCGACCCCTTCGCCGGTGTATGCCTGAATATTCGGCAGAGAGGAGTCGATACTGCATTTTTGCTGCGAAACAAATTGACCAGAATTAGCTGTGAGATGTGGGTTAAGGCATACAGCCCTAACGTGGTTGGTGTGGAGGTTGTCCAGCGCACAGAGAAGAGAAAGAGACGTGCAAAATTGACATACATGAGGTATGACTACTCTCCGCATTTCGTCATAATAATCGCAGAGAACATATGGGGATAATTTTTTACCTATACTGGCGTTCATTGCTAATTTTTCATTTTTCTGTTTATAGGAAACCCTCTCACGATATAGGAAGTGTGGAAAATAATGTGCGCAACTATCTCCGAACCAAGCGTATATTGGCCGGAGGAGGCGATCAGAGATCCCGCAAACGATAAAGGCGTTGTACTTACTTCGCATCTTTGGACACCAGTATACCCGATCTTCCATAGCAGCGAGCGCACTAAGGAGTTGCGTGTCAGTCTCACCTACGTTTCTGCTATGTATATCACTGCACAACCTGTACGCTTTTATTACAGTTTCGATATTTGGAGTAGCATGTTGCCTGTTAGACCTGTACTATATTCTATCTCTTATGACTGGAAGATTCTTTACCAAATTATGGAACATTCTGCAAGAGATTATGCGAGAATTGCAAACTTGGTATTATAGACTAGTAACAGAGAGATATAATGAAGTAACATATGTAAAATAGTGAATGAGCGCTTAAACCTGCTATTTTGCTAGTAGATATGTGATCCACCCAACAAAGATGACCACGGTCATGCTAGCTATTATAGTGAAGGCCTTAAGGAAGGTAGACAATAACTTCCAACCCACCCTTGAACGGGGTCGTCATGTGCCTGAAGCCGTTCTTAGGGTCGTCCATATAATCAAATAGGTCCTTGTAGTCACTTCGAGCCATGACAGTGTTGTCTGCAATGATAAGTGCGCCCGTACGGAGCTTTGGTTGAACTGCTTTGAGTGCCGGGAGAGCCATTGGAGTCCAGACTATAGTATATTGACTTAGCAAATCGTGATGAAAGGGTGAGCGAAGAATTGGGGTCAACATACTGTCCAACAATAACATATCAATTTGATCGACCTTCTTCATTTGATCCGGTAGTGTTTCGCGAAGATCGCCTTCCAGCAAGGTAATCCAGGGCTCCACCTCTTCCCCAGCCTCTTTCCAATGCTCCTTCGCCTTCTTCGCCTTGGTAGGCTCATTTTCCGTTGCAAAGACTTGAGCACCTTGTCCCGGTGTTATGGACCCAGATGCTTTGGCTGCGGCGTTCTGTCCAGCTGCGAGAGCAAGGTATATAGTCGAGACGCCGAAGCTTGTACCTGCTTCCACGATATTCAGAGCACCGGTAGATCTCGCTAGAAGATAGACAAGTTCACTTTTGTCGGCCTCTAGACAGATATATTTGTCTCTCATGAAGTCGTCATCAGCAGAGTTCCATCTACGGTTCCCAAAAATCATGGCCATTATCTTCTTGCGAAGCCAAAATGACACAACGGAGAACGATGATTCCTGGGCTCCAGACTCTCCGTGGAGCCTCTTGAGGAGGGCCGCAACCTTGGGGCTTGAAACCAGCGCACTTGGAGAAGCCATACTTCCTAATAACGTTAAAATTGGGCTATATGGATAAGTATAGAGAGGAAATAACGCTTATATATCTGTGATCGTATTGAACTGTGAGTCACTTCCTCAATTTTATAGATTATCCAACCCATTCATCCAGCTACAACAGCAAGCCATAGCTTGCTCATGATCTACCCGTGAAATGCCGGGCCCGGGCACTGTTACCGAGGTGATCATTCTGACAGTCAAATAGGTAGCTCCCATCGATGCTCTGCTGGAAGGGCGTGCGGAGGACCTGACCAGTAACAATTCTCGGCCATAAATAGTCCCAAAGAAAATAGCCGGGCCAGATAACTTCAATCCGGCTTATCAGAGCTCGGTCAACGTAGTTGCATAACTATTATTATTGACCGCAAAAGTTTTGCTTTCTTTTTCTTCCATGTTTCTTTTTCTTTCTTTGATTGACGTTGGAATGAGAAGATAAAAAGTCTTGGCGATCTGATAAACCTAATACACGTGATCCCGGCTAGTCACATGTTCATCGCACGATAATCTAATCAGATCATCCGAGTGTCCCCGCGGGTTTCTGAAAAAAACCAGCAACGACAACCCATCCTTGCTACCAATTTCACGGCTTCTCACTCCCACAACCGCATATCGTGGCCATCACAGAGGCCAATTGATAGAGGACAGGAACCCCCTCTGTCTTCGGCATTATATCTTCCTTTTGGGTGAATACAAGTTCAAGCCGATTACTCCCGATAGGCCGGCTTCGGGCCAGATGAGAGACGGAGTATGACAATGTCGACTTCTGCTGGAACGCCTACGTCGGCCCATGCGCCACTCTCAATTGCTCCTGCAAGCACTCCACATCAACGATCGCTTTCGGTGAAGCCTCTAGCTGCTGCCCCCTCGCCAGCACCGGTCACTCAATGCTCGATTACCTCCAAGGAATGGATCGTTCCTCCGCGCCCCAAGCCAGGCCGTAAGCCTGCCACAGACACACCTCCTACCAAGCGCAAAGCTCAAAACCGGGCAGCACAGAGGGCCTTTCGAGAACGAAGAGCTGCGCGAGTGGGAGAACTAGAAGAGCAGATCAAGAAAATCGAGGAAGAGAATGAGCGTGAGGAAGCTGCTCTTAAGAACACCATCCAGCAACAGCAACAGCAGATAGAGGAATACAAGAGCCAGTTACTGTGGTGGAAGAATCGGTGCAAAGCTGTGGAGGATGAGCTCATGACCGAAAAAGTTGCCAAGGAAGACGCTATTAAACAGCTTGAGAGATTCAACAATTCCGGAAGAACGACAAACAATGGTCACTCTGTCATCGGTGGTTGCGAAAGGTGTTCCTCCACGCGATGCCAGTGTATTGATGATGCTTTTAACATTGCCAACATCACGCAGATGCAGACAGATGATCCCCATTCCAAACGGGGCAGGTCACCCTCACAAGGAGCCACTCAAAAGCGTCACCGATCTAATCCCGAGATCAAGACAGAGCCTGAAGACCTAGAGACCGATTTCACCCATTCATTCTCCCTCAGAAGACATTCACGGACAGGGAACGATGCTACCACGCCTATACTGTTAGATCCATGTGGCTTTTGCCAGGATGGCTCGCCATGCATCTGTGCCGAAATGGCAGAGGATCAACCAAGTGATAGAAGCAATCAACCATCACAATTGACCAAGCTCCCACCTATTCAGAATATATCACAATTTACCCCGCCTCCTTCCGAAGGGGACGTTCTCTCAAAGTCAGCTACGTTGGTGTCGAGCAATAAGAGCAATCCCTGCGCCAATGGACCAGGAACTTGTGCTCAATGTCTTGCAGATCCCCGCAGCTCGGTTTTCTGTAAGAGCCTTGCTGCCTCTCGTGCATCTACTCGTCAGGAAGGCGGGTGCTGTGGAGGTGGCGGTGGAAAGGATGGATGCTGCAAAAACCGATCATCTGGTTCAGACTCGTCCAAGCAGGCTACATCTCCAATTACGCTCAGCTGTGCTGATACATTTACTACCCTATCCCTACATCCGAAGTTCGCTTCTGCATCAAATGAATTGAGCAATTGGATACCCCAGCTGCATACCCTTCCTAATCCGCAAAACCTCAATCCTGACCGGCGACGGGACCAAAACCTTACCAACCGGCCTGCCTTGGAAGTCGAAGCCGCAAGCGTTATGGGCGTCTTGCGATATTTTGACCGAAGATTTGCTGATTCTAAGTAAAAGCTACGATTTTATATTTTTCTTTTTTTATCCTCTGACACTCTCGTACGATTTCGTTATTTGATTATCTCTTTCTGCTGAAAACTGGTTCATTTTTCCTTTTACCTACTACCATGTTCTAGATGAGCATCTATCCCTTGAGGTATTAGGTGGATATCCTTACTCCAACTCTCCTGGTGCATACATACAGTATGACCAGGCTAATGCCGTGAGTTTCAATAGGGAAAGGCGCCACGGAGTCAATCTCTATCTGTTTTTGAGCTGATTTTATTCCACGTTCGCAGTTAACACTTTTGTTTGGATTTCCACCTTCTGTTTGTATTAATAGCACCCAGTCTCACCTTACCTTTTTCACGCATCCTTAGGATACGCTTAGAAACCCCCTTCAGTAGGGAATACGCTTCTTGACACGGATGAAATGATGGACTTATACAGAGGTGGTGCATGTTTTCCTTAGTAATGATCAGCTGGGCGGCCAAAAATCTGATTTGATTGACTATTCTACACTTATCATTTTGATATCAGGAATTAACGTATCCATTGTCGACCGCCTATGGGGTATAGTACATTAAGGAGGGGATGGTTGGTCTAGTGGAATTTTGCAGGATAG